TTTTTTTGCAGAACCAGGGATTGAACTCAGGTCCTTGTGCTTGCCAGGGAAGCACTTATTCCACTGAGCCATCTCCCTGGCCCCAGCTCTTTGTATTATGACTAATTTTTTTTTTTTTTTCAGAGCTGGGGATTGAACTCAGGCCCTTGAGCTTGCCAGGCAAGCACTTACTTTACTGAGCCATCTCCCCGACCCTAATTTTGTTTTATATTCTAGATATTGTGAGTCTTATGATGTTGGGCTTTATATTCTGATGTTATCCTGATGAGTACTTTTTAAAAGCAAATAGCTTCCTTAATTGAATTAAAACCAAAAGTCTGTCCCTTGGGTAACAGTACCTTAGTGCAGGTTTTTGCCCTTCTCTGGGCAGCTTGGAACCTACTCCATAAGGCTCAGAGATGAGATAGAGATTTGGGCCAAGGTGGTGTGTAGAATTTGGGTCCCCTCGGCTTGGGTCTCTTCCTCTTGGGATTCTTCTCTTTGCTAGTGGTAGAGGCTGCTCCTGACTTGGCCATGGTCACCCAGGCAGAAGCACTGTGTTCTCTATGAGGGGCTCAGCTTCAGCCACCATATGTGCCCTGAATCAGACGCTGAGCCACACAAACATAGCAGGCAGCTGCTCTCCCGCTGTTCCTTCTCAGTGTCCCCTTGTCACTGTCCTGTGTCTGCTTTTGCCGGCTTCCTGGTACCTTCCTGTGGTTGTATCTTCTCCCTCCATGTTTACAGATTGTTATTTGGGGGTTGCAGGGGGATGGGGCAATAGACTTCACTCAGCCATAAGCACAATCCAAATTAGTCTTCCAAAAACATAACTAGCTCCTTGGGCCGGCCAGATAGCTCAGCAGACTAAAGCGCCTGCTTGGGCAGATGCAGGGACCCAGATTCAATCCCTGGTGTGCTGTGCGGGGGGGGGGGGACCCTCAGGGCACACTAAAACAGTGATTGACACTGGGTGTGATGGCGGAAGTCTGTAATCCCAGTGCTTGGGAGGCTGAAAGCAGGAGGATCACTATGAGTCTGATCTGTGTAGTGAGACCCTGTAACCCTGTACTAAATTCACACACAAGAAGAAGAAGGAAGAAGAAGAAGAAGAAGAAGAAGAAGAAGAAGAAGAAGAAGAAGAAGAAGAAGAAGAAGAAGAAGAAGAAGAAGAACCAGCCTTCAGAATCCATAGGAGCGAAGCCAGGGAGATGGAGACCATGGGCACAGTAACAAGAATCCTGGGGTCCTTCAGGGTGGATTCCCACTCTGTAACTTACTCTCTGTATGAACTTGGGATAATTACTCATCCTGCCTGGGCCTCAGTTTTATCATCTGTAAATGGGGCAATAGTCTCTACCTTATACACTTGTGAGAATTAAATAATAAATACCCATAAAGCTCTTAGAAATAGTAGAAAACATCTGTTGGATATGTCCCATGATAGATGTCATTGTTTAAGCTTTTTTGACTCCTCCCCTGAGCCCAATGAGGAAGGTAGCTGAGAATCACCAGGTTGTCCTGGGATACCAGAGATCCAAGAGCCCAGAGCGGGAATGCTGATGCCCGTCCCATTCCACAAAGTGTGTATCCTGGGAAAACTGTACCCAGTCTGGATGCCAGCCTCCTCCCTCATGGAGTAGAGGCTGAGGGTGGACTGACCCTGGAGTCGTGTGGATACTGTCCCCAGGTCTGCTTTTTCACACACTGCTGGCTTTCTGCAGATAGATTGCCTAGCCTCTCTGAGCTGCTGTTGTCCTCGTTGATGTCATGGGGGGTAATATGTCAAGCTGAGTAGTAGAAGCACCAAGAACTAACTAAGACTTAACCTATAGTGAGCCTTACTTTCACGCATGCTCAGCCTTGTTTTAATGAAAGTGCTATTGTCATTGCTGTCATTTTAATTATTACTTCCCAAATATGATCAGCCCATTTCTGCAGCCTCACCTCTGAGGGGCTTTACGGCAGGTCTTGGCCTTCTAGAAACTCCAGAGGAAACCCAGTCACACCCAAGATGGGTTTAGTGGCGATCTTCTCAGAGGGGCAGAGGGCATCGTTTGCATCATAATTTCCAGAGAAAATACTACGACTCCTCCTCTGCTATCTTTCTTCTCCTGAATCTACTTCTTGTGCTGCCCTTGCACTGCGTATCTCTTCACCATATGAAGCCCAATGCCCTACTATGAAATTCAACCTTGATTTTTCCCATCTCTCATGCTTCCTAGTTCTTGACTAAATGTTACATGTAAATTTGCACCATCTATTCAGCAAACTGGTTATTCAGAAAAAAAAATAATTCACTTAGATATCAGCCCACCTCAGTCCCAAGCTGCCTCCCAAAGTTACTTTGAACACATGTGGAGCCCCAAAAAGTGGTCAGCCAAAAACATTTGCTCTATTTCATTCCTATTATTATTACCTATTGCTAATATTGGGTAGCTTGGCACATAATATGTACTCAGTAAATAGCAACTACTGTATTCTTATTTCCAGGCCATTCTTATATTTTCTTGGTGAAACAATTTTCTTACTGATAGTTACCAAGAAATACTACTAAGAAATACACTTCACTGGTCAAGTAACTTTGCATTGCTGAGTCTTACAAATGCCTAAAAAGGTACAATTTAAAAGATACAGTTTTCTGTGGCCTTCTGCAAGATTTGTTCAAATGGGACCCATGAGACAGTTCAGCAGACTAAACACTTGCTTAGGCAAGTGCAGGGACAAGGGTTTGATCCCCAGCACCACATGCCATTCTGGCCCTGCTCCTGGGTACGCTGAGCTGGCCACCAAAACCTGGGCATGGTGGCCCATGCCTGTAATCCCAGAGCTGGGGAGGCTGAAAACAGGAGGATACTACAAGTCTGAGCTGTGTAAATAATAATAACAATAATAATAATAGTAACAGTAATAAAAAGATTCATTCAAATGGACACTTTCCACAATTAACATGTAAGAGCGTCTTCTTAATACTGAGATTCTTCTTAATGAATACTTAATACTTCCTAATACTTGAATATTACCAACTAAATAAAGTTGAATGGTCATGAAAATATACTTACTTGATCTTCTAATTACAAAGATGACAAAATGTTATCTGCTCTTTTTAAAGTGACAATCATGTGGGACAGAAGAGGAAACAAAACAGCTATTAGTTTGCTTGATGTAAAATACTGATGACCACCAGGATATATTAGCAACTAGGTGCCATCATAAAAATTACAAATGTTGTTAATTCTGCTTTGGAGAGATTCAGCCAAAAGGCCTCATTAAATCTTTTACGGAGAAATAAATCAGTGTGTGTATATGTGCATTTGACATAGAACAGGTTTAAGGAGTTTCTGACTATCTGGTCCTTGACGGGAAGGATGGGCCTAATCTGTTCACCAGAGAAGACAGTGATCTGATATTTTGGACTGGTTGTGAGATGCTGCTATCAAAATGACTACTGCTTCATCACGTTGCACATCATGGGGGTGATTTTCTTCACCTCTAAAGGTTTTCCCCATGTTTTACCTGTGTATCTCCAACTTAGGAGCATGAAGCCAAGGACATAGGAGGATGGAAAGAGAGGAAATGAAAGGGTTGGAGACTTCAAGGAAAGGCATTTACTGAGCATCTACTATATTCCAGGCATGTCAACAGCTCTGACCTACATAATGAAGTTTAATTTTCTTTTTGTTTTTTTCTTTTTGGTGGAACCAGGGATTGTGAAGTTTAATTTTCATTGCATTCCAAGAGATCAGTATTCTTATACCCACTAATTAAAAGAGGAAACCGAAATTTATATAGGGTAATAGGCTTGTCCACGTTCTTGGAGCTAGTGAAGTACAGAGTTCAGTTGTTCAATGGTCTTTTAATTCCAAGTTTTCTAGTCTCTTCACTAAGCCATAATGCTTCTGAAAGTCAGAAGATAGGAGAATGGCTGTGGTTTCCCCGGTCAAGCTCCTTGCATAACTTTTCAGGTACTAAGAGTAGTGGTAAGAGCTCAGGCTTTGCAGACAGACACTGCAACTTACCTGCAAGGATGCACTGATTATGAAAATACTGAAAAGGTGCTATATCTTTACAAATTGTAAGGTGCTGTTGCCTTGTTCTCTCTAGTACCTCAGGTGTCTCAGATCTCGGCTTGAACTTCCACATGTCCCTGGATGCAGCCTGGTGGATAAATTATTGCACATTGGGAACCTAATCTAATTCTTGGGCCAATCTATTATAACTCACAGGTGTTGTTGCTGTATCAGCTGTTAATAATTTAAATTCTACTCTTGTTCCCAACTTCTTCCTCCTTCCATACAAACTTAGTTGATCTTCAGAAATTTCTGTTTTTGCCAACATGGGTCTTTGACTTTTGTGGTGATTTGTCTGGAAAATGGGTTGAAAGAGAAAAAAGATGGAAGGGAAGGTAGTACATACAGGCAGAAGGCAGAAATTGGGTTGATCTGCATAAAATGAGTTGAAGAAAGAGACAAGGAAGGAAGAGAAACTTTGAAAGATGGAGAGAGAGAAGAAGAAGAAAAGAAAAAGAAAAGATAACAAGGGCAAGAGAAAGAGCAAGAGGAAAAGAGAAAGAGAAACAGAAACAGAAACAGAAAGTGAAACAGAAAGAGAAAGAGAAAATACCCATGTGAGGAAACATCTTTATAGCAACAGTAGAGTCCAAACATTAGGAAAAAAGGAAAGATTTCTTAAAACCTGCTGTGGGGATTGGTCTTCATTAAAGTTCTTGAGAGCTGTAAGATAAAGCATAGGAATTTGTTTTTAATTACTACAGTTTTTCCTCTTTATATTCTATATAGGGTAGGGACTTGACCATGTGGAACTCTAATTTGCACAGATGACCTCTAAGATTTACAAGATGACCTCTAAGATCCTTTCTAATGTTAATCATAAAATGAATGAGCCAACCCCTCCAAGGGTGACCAGCTCCTGTGGGCTCCAAAGGCAAATGACAAGCTATGAGGTCACACACTACCCATCTTGGTAAGTGAGCTACAACCTTGGATATACCTATGCTCTACAGAAGAGTATTGTGAATATATAGAGCTAGTATTTTTACTTGTAAAATGGAATATAATGTTTGTTTTGTTTATTTTTAAGTTGTTTTTGCTATTGTTATTTTAATTGATATGTCAGGTACTATATTACTTAATTCAATTCTTACAGCAATTCTGTGAATTATGGTTGGTCATCTCTTTTTCACAGAATAAACCCAGTGATCATAAGATACTTGCCCATGGACCCCAGGCCAGACACTGGCAGGCCTGGACCCAAAGTGTCCCTTTGTGCCTCAGATCCAAAGCTCTCCCCTTTGCAGCATTCGCCTTCCCGGACTGTCTCAAGGGGTGGAGAACCTTTGAGAGACAAGTGCTAGACTGTAATACAAAACTCACTTCTTTTTTGCAAAGTGCCAATACTGCAATTACACCTGAATGCTGAAGTTTTAATTTAGAAAAAACTCATACATTAACATCTTTTGTTTTAAAAGAAAAATACAGCAGCACACATGCTATACGTCTGTCACCATTGGCTTAGATGGAAGCCATTAGCACACTGTTATGTTGGGAGAACAACATAAAAATATCAGGTATCTAAGATACCCTATTACTTCCTCATGCTGTTCTCTGCACTTCTGTTGTTTATTCAGAATTTGCCTCCAGAGCCCTTTCTAATAAGGACCTACTTGCCTGGCTGTTAGGAGTGCTGTCAGCTGTCAGCCACTGGGTCCCCATGCCCCTCAAGGTCACTTGGGGACCAGCTGATGCCCTAAAGGCTCCTGACATCCGGGGCTGACTTTATGCCTCTCTGGAGCAACTTTGCACCCCAGCTGCTGGTGTAGGGGCCGAGATCATATCCAGACCTGCTTGGTGGGTCGGCTTTCCACATGCCAGCCCTGGTGACACCTCTTCCCTTCCTATGAGCCTGCTATGTGCCAAACACCTTCCCAGTCTGCTTCCTGGGGCAAGCCAGCCTATGACAAGATTGTGTCACAGCTGCTTCTTCCTATATCTGTCCCCCTGCTAACCTGAAATTTCCTGAACACTTATTTATTCCTAAATCACCAGTGATTGGCCTAATATTAGGTCCAGAAAACAGAGCTCATTTGTATGTTCAATGAAAGAAATTCACCTGTCAACCTATAGGATAATAATGTTGCTTACCATATAAACAGCCTCTACAACTTACCAAATTCTGAAGTTTTGAACCTGTCAACTCTGCCCCATAACAATCCTAAAAAGCTGTCATTACTATTGTGATTTCATGGATGAATGAAGAGAAGCAGCTTATCCTTCCACATTTGCTGTCATTTGCTGATGGCTCTGGACTGTGGTTGCTTGGAGTCTATCTCCAAAACTGACTCCCCTAACCACTCTCACTGCTTCTAGTGTCCATTTACCTGTCCATCTTTCATCCACCAATTTATTAAACAAGGACAGAAAAGGGCTAAGCAAGAGGAGTGAGAGGGGTAGTGCTATTTGAGGGGGGACAGGAGTCATCAGAGCATTCCTGCTGATGAGAAGCCCATTCTGAGTCTCGCGTCCAGGAGAAGCATATCGAGCACACAGTGTGTCAGTGCTCCCCAGATGGACTTCAGAAACACTGGTACAGGTGAAGACACACAGACAACACTGGGACAGAGGCCCCCGAGGCCCTGGGAGGAGAGTGCTCTGGCATAGCTTCCCTAGCAGGGGAGGTCGGGCCCAGACTCTGGGCTGCAGAGTTCCCACCAGGGCTCTTGGAGTTGTGCTTCCTGTGGTTGGGCCAGGAATCTGCCATGGCCAAGCACCCGCATACCTCACACTTGCATCTAATGATTGCTCAGGAAGTGGAGGCTTTGGGGCTGCACCGAAAAGGGGAGGGAGAGCCAACAGGAGGGAGTCAGCAGAGCCAGATCCCTCAAAGCATTGTCCTTTCCTTCCTCCGACAGGATGCCAGCAGCCCCACAGAAAAGGGACTCATTTGTCTTCACTCCCAGCACAATAACTTGCTGCTGGCCTTTCTCTTGGGTCTTGCTCAAAGCAACAGGATACAGACGTTGCCAGGAGAGAAGGAAGGAAGGAGGGAGGTGAGGGAAGTGACAGGCGCTCAGGGTCTCCAGCCCCAGCCTGGACCCAGGCCCTGGGAAGCCCCACCCCACCAGGTCCAGAAGCCATGGGCTCTGTCAGTCTAGCTTTGCCTGGCCTGGGAAACAACGCTCAGTTGCAGGGAAAATCTTAATGAGATGTGAGCAGTACAACCCTTTGAAGCTGAGCTATAGTTTCCGGGTTTATCTGAGTGGCCTTTCTCCAATTTTCATTTTAGTCTAGTTTTCTTTGTACATTCGGAAAAGTAAAATCAATTTGATTAATTTAGAACAGGGTTTTTTATCCTTTGGTGTTAAATTGAACTTATATGGAGCTATTAAAAAGCTTTTTCTGCAATCAAGATTTTTCTGGACTCACCTAAGAGAAACCGTTGTGCGCCTGTATGAGTGTGTGTGCATGTGTGTGCGCACACACATGCACATGTGGGCCCACAAAAAAGTAGGGGTAGAAAGGGGAATTCCTCATGACAAACTAGGGGTGGAGAGGGTTGTAGAGTTGGAATCAATACTGCATCCTGCCACAAAGGTAAAAACGAAACAAATCAACGCCTTTTAGCAAGTAGATGTTGTTGCCTGTGAACTCGGGTGTATGTACCCAGCTCTGTGTTGAGGATGGCATATATGGAGCTAACCCAGAAGCCTCTAGCACAGGAGGTAGCTTGGATGTGCGGTACAGAACAGAATGTTAGAATGACTCATACAAGAAGAGTCCATCTTCCAGGAGCTGTGGAGTGCTCCCTCCGGGACGGACACCCTGCCTGGCCAAGCTCGGAGGACGGAAGTCAGTGTGCTGGAAGTCATCTTCCTCAGGGGAAAGGTAACCCACAAATTCAGGCTCCTTTAAGAGTCACTGTAGAGTCTTCCTCATGACCGATCTGAAACATGAGAGAAACATCAATACATTCAATTAAAACAGGGGCCCTTGAGATGAACTCTGCTGCCTGTCAGAGAAATTGCATAATTTTTTTAAAAAGCTGAAGTTACTTGAATTTCAACACAGACACATTTTGGGGCCAGTCAGATGGCTCAGTGGACTAAAGCACCTACTTAGGCAGGTTTACGTAAGCTTAGACAAGCGCAGAGACCGTAGTTTGATCCCCAACACCATATACCCTACCAGACCCACCCCTAAAGTGGACTGAGCCAGCCACAGAGTCCTGGCATGATGGGGCACGCCTAAAATCCCAGCGCTGGGGAGGCTGAAAGTCGGAATACCATGAGTGTGAACTGCGTATTGAGACCCTGTACTAAATACATAAACAAATAAACCAACAGACAAAAAACACAGACACATCTTAATGATTAAGCCCATGCTCTTCTCCCTATTCTCCTGTCCTGGCTGTTTTGTTCTCTCTCTCTCTCTCTCCCCCTCCTCCACCTCTCTGTATAGTACTGGAGGTTGAACCAGGGCTTTTCACACTCTACATCTTTAACCTTTGTTTGAAGACAGGTTCTCCTAAGTTGCTACACTGCCCAAGCTGGGTTTGCACTTACGGTCCTCTTGTTTCAGCCTCCCAGCCTTCTAGGACAACATGCGTGTATGCCATGTCCAGCTCCCCTCTTTCTTCTCTGTTTTCCTCCTGAGCTGGGAAGTAAAAGCGAGCTGGTAGAATCTGAGTGAACGTCTGCTGGAGGGGCTCCCAGCTAGTGGCTTGCTGAAGGTTTGGTCTGGGATGGAGTCTGGGCTCTGGGCCCATCCTTGTACTGTCCAGAGTCACCTTTGGAGAGGGTTCTCAGAAAAGGTGAGCAAAACAAGATGAAAAAGTGGGAGGCAGCGGTAGAGGCAGCAAAGCCTGCGCTGTCCAGTGCTTCTCATCGGATCCCCTTGGGCTCAGAACAGGCACCCTGAAAGGCTGTGCCTTGGCCTGCCAAGTACCCGAGCAGGGGGAGCTTGCCACCCAGAAGCAGCCTCAGAAGCACAGACTGCCCCTGCCTGCTCTTGCTCTCCTGTTGTGCAGCCCTCTTCCTCCTATGGCGATTTGCAGAACCCAAAATTCCTCTTCTCCAAGGCTGTAAGAACTTGAATTCTCTCCTGCAGAACAAACCATAACATCCAGAAAGGTCACTCTCTTTTTTCTTCTTCATGGAAGACATCATTCCAGAGAGGTCCTGCCTTTCAGCCAGGAGAATGGAGGACATAAGGAGTCCCAGCATCTGAGCTCAGTCTATCACCCTTAGATGGGAGCCATTGCTGCCAATCACATTTCTGCATGGCTGTCCTTTCCTTAGGAAACTCAAGTGCAAAAATAGACAGCTTTCCCTAGGTCTTTATTTCCAAAGGCTCTTGTGTCATGTTAGATTTGATTAAGTAAATTTGTGGTGTTTTTTTTTTTTAATTTATTTGAGAGAGAGAGAGAGAGAGAGAGAGAGAGAGAGAGAGAGAGAG